TATGATATTAAACAGAAAAATATACAAACCTTGAGACGAGGGGATTTTGTCCTTTTCTTTTTGACTTCTAAAGCAGTTTTAAATTGTTTATATATATCAAAAGTAATTCAGTCTAATACAGTATATGGCATTAATAATTTAATCTTTAAATTTTTTTTTTTTGGTTGACTCTTCTGGTGATGAGATCATCCTATTTACTGGTAATGTTGCTGACAGAGTTCATAGCTCTTCTATTTTATCCTTGTTTACTTGTTCTTGGGTTATTAGTATTAGCTTCAATCAGCAGTTTCTTTGCAAAAAATCTTTTTAAGCCACTTATCTACTTCATGAAGGTTTAGTTAAAACTAGTAGACAAAGCTGGGTGCAGTGGTTCACACCTCTAATCTCAGTACTTGGGAGGTCAAGGTAGGAGGATTCCTTGAGCCCAGGAATTTGAGACCAGCTTGGGCAACATGGTGAGCTCCCTGTCTCTACAAAAATAAAAAAAAATTAGCCGGGCGTGGTGGTATGTGCCTGCAGTCCCAGCTACTTATGAGGCTGCAGAGGATCACTTGATCCCACAAGGTCCAGGCTGCAGTGAGCTGTGCTTGCACCACTGCACCCAGCCTGGGCAACACGGTGAGATCCCGCCTCAAAAAAACCCACAAAAAAGTGGGGCGTGGTGGCTCATGCTTATAATCCCAGCACTTTGGGAAGCTGAGGTGGTTGGATCATTTGAGGCCAGGAGTTTGAGACCAGCCTGGCCAACATGGTGAAACCCCGTCTCTACTAAAAATACAAAAAATTAGCGGGGCATGGTGGCTTGTGCTTGTAATCCCAGCTATTCAGGAGACTGAGGCAAGAGAATCTCTTGAACCCGGGAGGCAGAGGTTGCAGTAAGCCAAGATCGCACCACTGCCCTCCAGCCTGGGTGACAGTGCAAGACTCCATCTCAAAAAAAAAGAAAAGAAAAAAAAGGAAACGAAAAAACCCCACAAAAAATGAAAAACAAGAAAACAATAATTAGCAGATAATAAATTCCAAAACTGAGGACGTATGAAGTACAGTCTGTAGCAATTTGCTGAAAACTCCTTTTGTTCTCTCCTTTGGAGGGTAGAACTCTTACTTTCACTTCAGGATGACTTATCACTAATTCTGTGTGACTGCTTTGGTATCCGCCATGTGAGAGCAAACTTCACTGTGAATCTATTAAACATTAACAAGAGTTAATTCTTTTTTTTTTTTTTTTTTTTAGACGGAGTCTCGCTTTATCACCAGGCTGGAGTGCAGTGGTGCAATCTCGGCTCACTGCAACCTCCACCTCCTGGGTTCAAGCAATTCTCCTGGCTCAGCTTCCTGAGTATCTGGGACTATAGGCGCAAGCCACCATGCCCAGCTATTTTTATTTTTTTTTATTTTTTTTTATTTTTTGAGACGGAGTCTCGCTCTGTCGCCCAGGGTGGAGTGCAGTGGCCGGATCTCAGCTCACTGCAAGCTCCGCCTCCCGGGTTCACGCCATTCTCCTGCCTCAGCCTCCCGAGTAGCTGGGACTACAGGCGCCTGCCACCTCGCCCGGCTAGTTTTTTGTATTTTTTAGTAGAGACGGGGTTTCACCGGGTTAGCCAGGATGGTCTTGATCTCCTGACCTCGTGATCGCCCGTCTCGGCTTCCCAGAGTGCTGGGATTACAGGTGTGAGCCACTGCGCCCGGCCACCAATTCATTTTCATTAAACATGAAAATAAAAACAGAGGTTTAAATACTTTCTCCTTTTACCCCAAGGGATAGTCTTGTACATTCCCTGGGTTTTGTTAGAAAGTGAGTGATTCATAATTTTTAAATTTTTTAAAATTATTAATTTTTTTTGAGACAGGCCCTCACTCTGTTGCCCAGGTTGGATGGAGTGCAGTGGCATGATCACAGGTCACTTTAGTCTTGACCTCCTGGGCCCAAGCAATCCTCCTGTCTCAGCTTCCTGAGTAGCTGGGACTACAGGTGCACACCACCACGCCTGGCTAATTTTTTTAACTTTTTTGTTTATTAGAGACAGAGTCTTGTCCTGCTGCCTGGACTGGTCTTGAATTCCTGAGTTTAAGCGATCCTCCCACCTCAGCCTTCCAAAGTGCTGGGATTACAGATGTGGGCCACCATAACTTGCCTATTTTTAATTTTCTATCAATTACTGAGAAAGAAGTGTTGAAATCTCCAAACACATCATAATTGTGTTTTGTCTCTAAGTTTTCTTTGTTTTTGCTTTACGTATTTTGAAGCCCTGTGCATAAACACTTAAGATTCCTTAGATCCTCTTAATGAACTGACCCCTTCATTATTATGAAATGTCTCTCTCACAGGTAGTTCTTCATTCTAAAATCACTTTGATATTAATATATTTCAACATTCTTTTCACTGGGGTTTTCATATGGGCAGTTTAGAGTTGGGTCTTGTTTTTTGCCAAAGTTGATCATCTCTGTCATTCATGCATTCATTTATGAGACAGGGTTAGATTATCTCCCAGGCTGTAGTGCAGTGGCATTATCTTGGATCACAGCAACCTCTGCCTCCTGGGCTCATGCCATTCTCCCACCTCAGCCTCTCAAGTAGCTGGGACCACAGGCGTGCACCACCACACCCGTATAATTTTTGTATTTTTTGTAGAGACGGGGTTTTGCCATGTTGTCTGGTCTGGTTTTGAACTCCTGAGCCCAAGTGATCCACCCACCTGGGCCTTCCAAAGTGCTGGGATTACATGCCTGAGCTACCATGCCCGGCCATCTCTTTTAACTGAAATGTTTTAGAGTGGGCTGGGTGCGGTGGCTCACGCCTGTAATCCAGCACTTTGGGAGGCTGAGGTGTGAGGTGTGTGGATCATCTGAGGTCAGGAGTTTGAGACCAGCCTGGCCAACATGGTAAAACCCCGTCTCTACTGAAAATACAAAAATTAGCTGGGCAGGTGGCAAGTGCCTGTAATCACAGCTACTTGGGAGGCTGAAACAGGAGAATTGCTTGAACTTGGGAGGTGGAGGCTGCAGTGAGGTGAGATCTCGCCACTGCACTCCAGCCTGGGCGACAGAGTAAGACTCTGTCTTAAAAAAAAAAAAAAAAAAAAAAAAAAAAATTAGGAGCATGGTGGCTCACACCTGTAATCTCAGCACTTTGAGAGGCTGACAGGTGGATCACTTGAGCTCAGGAGTTTGAGACAGCCTGGGCAATATGGCGAAATCCAGTCTCTACCAAAAATACAAAAAATTAGCTGGTTGTGGTGGCACTTGCCTGTAGTCCCAGCTACTTGAGAGGCTGAGGTGGGAGGATTGCTTGAGCCTCGGAGGCGGAGGTTACAGTGAGCTATTGGGCTACTGCACTCTATCCTGGGCAACAGAGTGAGACCCCATCTCAACAAACAAACAAAAAACAGAGAAGAAAGTAGGTACTAAATTGTATCTAAATTAAAAAATAAATGCTTTCCTTTTTTTGCATGGAGTCTTTTTTACGTTTCATGTTACCATATTCTATTTACCACTATCAGTTTATTAGAAATTTGTCTCACTTTAGCATTGCTTTACATTTAAAAACAAGAAATTTACAAAGAAAAAGTCACCTTGGGCATGGTGGCTTACACCTGTAATCCCAGCACTTTGGGAGGCCAAGGCAGGTGGATCACATGAGGTCAGGAGTTCAAGACTAGCCTGGCCAACATGACAAAACCCATCTCTTCTAAAAATGCAAAAATTTGCTGGGCGTGGTGGTGGGCGCCTGAAATCTCAGCTACCTGGGAGGCTGAGGCAGAATCACTTGAACCCAGAAGTTAGAGGTTGCAGTGAGCTGAGATTGTGCCACTGCCCACCCCTCTAGGTTGGGAGGAAGACTCATTCTCAAACAAACAAAAAAAAAAAAAAAAAAGAAAAAAATTCACGTTGGGATTTTCTGTTTCATTATTTAAACAAAATTATCACCCCTCCTCAACGAGTGTTAATCTATTTTTGTTTTTTCGGAGACAGAGTCTTGCTGTCGCCCAGGCTGGATTGCAGTAGCGTGATCTTGGCTCACTGGAACCTCTGCCTAATGGGATCAAGTGATTCTCCCACCTCAGCCTCCCAAGTACTTGGGATTACAGGTGCCCACCACCATGACTGGCTAAATTTTTGTTTTTTTAGTAGAGTTGGGGTTTCACCATGTTGGCCAGGCTGGTCTCCAATTCTTGAGATCAAGTGATCTGCCTGCCTTGGCCTCCCAAAGTGTTGGGATTACAGGCATGAGCCACTGCACCTAACCAAATCTTTAATTAGGGATATAAATTTTAAAAAGTCAATGATGTTGGGAGAATATCTAGTTTATTGTTAGAAATACAGGAAAAGGTCAGGCGCAGTGGGTCATGTAATCCCAGCACTTTGGGAGGCCAAGGCAAGTAGATTATTTGAGCCCAGGAGTTTGAGACCAGCTTGGGCAACAAGGCGAAACCCCAGCTCTACTAAAAGTACAAAAAGATAGCCTGGTGTGGTGGAAGGATCCCTTGAGCCCAGGGAGGCTGAGGCTGCAGTGAGCCAAGATCATTGCACTCCAGTCTGGGTGACAGAGCAAAACCCTATCTCCCAAAAAAAAAAAAAAAAGAAGAAGAAGAAAGTAAGGTTTTTCATGACATAGGAAGAATGAAGACTAAGCAAGTAGAAAATACCACAATTACCACAATTAAGAAAAATGAACATGATACATGGATGTGTCAACCAGAACAGGGCAGTGAGTATTTACAGTAGAATCTGGCTTCCTCTAAACCATCTGAAGAGGACGATAAAAGGAGCAAGGCCAACTCCCATTTAAAAACTTGCTAGTGCCAGTTAGGTCAGGACTAGTTAGGACTAGTTAAAAAAAAAGATTAAAACAAACTTCTTAGAACATGTCCATTTGCTCAAATATATGATGCCTGCCTGTTACATAGAACGCACTACTGCTGTTCTCCAACCCCCTATGTATCCTAAACCAAATCTGATATGGCTTGAGACTTTTTTTTTTAAAGAATGACAAAAACAGATTGGCATATATATATTTTATTTTACTTTATTAAATCTTACTAATATTCTGTAAGGGACAAACCAGACGAGTAGGTTATAGTGAAGAAATCTTATTTTGGAGAGTTAAGAAACCACTATGATACTTCTAGGTATTATCTTCAGTGATGCTTCTTATCTTTATTCAGGGAATTCAGGAAATATTCAGCTCCTACAGCTACCACAAATGCAGCAAATCCCCATTTGAATCCTTTAAAGAATACATCAAAAATGGAAACACTCTTTGCAAAGCCGCCCATGTATCTCCAAGCTTCATTGCTAGAAAAAAAAAAAGAAAAAATTATAATCATATGCAATTGTGTGTATATACATTGAATACATTTAATTTTCATCTTTCTAATTGACTTAAATGCTACCCTACAGAAGATCATCTAAGTGAATCGCAATAGGAATCTTTCTGTGGCATAGGATAATTAAGCATATGCCCAAGTTTCACATATAAAATAGAAGAATGAACACTTGATGGTTTCACATTTAATAGTCACATGCCGGCCGGGCGCGGTGGCTCAAGCCTGTAATCCCAGCACTTTGGGAGGCCGAGACGGGTGGATCACGAGGTCAGGAGATCGAGACCATCCTGGCTAATACGGCGAAACCCCGTCTCTACTAAAAATACAAAAAACTAGCCGGGTGAGTTGGCGGGCGCCTGCAATCCCAGCTACTCGGGAGGCTGAGGCAGGAGAATGGCATAAACCCGGGAGGCGCAGCTTGCAGTGAGCTGAGATCTGGCCACTGCACTACAGCCTGGGCGGCAGAGCAAGACTCCGTCTCAAAAAAAAAAAAAAAAAAAAAAAATAGTCACATGCCTCAGGATTTTACAAAACCCTCAAATGCAAGACTCACTTCAGCTTATCTGTCACAGGTCAGATGGACTCTGCCCACACTAGTCATTATAACATCACGGAAAGATGATGTTAGAGACTTGGTATTTATCTTTGGTATGCCACTTATATTAGATTCAAAATCTTGTAGGCTGGGCAAGATACTTAGCCTGTCATGGTCTGCTTCCTGTTCTATTCAATGATGATTATTATCTCCTTTATAATATCATAAAGACTAAACAGGCTTATGCATGATATATTTTGGCAGAGGAGTATGGAGTATGTAACACTTGACATTACTGCTACTATTCAAAAGGATCTCTGCTTCTCCCTACCATAGCAGCCTGAATTTTAGATGACTGACATCCTGCTCTGATAAGCACAAACCAGTGAAAAAATCACGTTATGAAAAACAAAAACCATTTAACTCTAGAAATATGACTTAGGAAATATGAAAGCTAATTAAATCTAATTGAGATACCAAAACCAGACAAAGATGTTAGAAGAAAAAGCTACAGAATAATATCCCTCATGAACATAGATGCAAATATTCTTTTTTTCTTTTTGGGATGGAGTCTTGCTCTGTCACTGAGGCTGGAGAGCAGTGGCACAATCTCAGCTCACTGCAACCTCCACCTCCTGGATTCAAGTGATTCAACCACCTCAGCCTCCCCAGTAGCTGGGATTACAGGCGCACACCACCACATCTAGCTAATTTTTTGTATTTTTAGTAGAGACGGGGTTTCACTACATTGGCCAGACTGGTCTCGAACTCCGGACCTCGTGATTCGCCCACCTTGGCCTCCCAAAGTGCTGGGATTACAGGCATGAGCCACCGCACCCGGTCGTATTTTTTTTTTTTTTTTTTAGTAGAGATGGGGTTTCGCCATGTTGGCCAGGCTGGTCTCAAACTTCCAGCCTCAAGTGATCCGCCTGCCTTGGCTTCCCAAAGTGCTGAGATTACATGCATGAGCCACCACACCCGGCGCAAATATTCTTAACAAAATTTTAGAAAATTGAATCCGGCAGGATATAAAAATGGTAATACATCATAATGAAGTAGGGTTCACTCCAGGAATGCAAGATTGACTTATATTTGAAAATTAATAGAAGTAATTCGCCATATTAACAGAATAAAAAAGAAAAAACTATGAACATCTCAATAGACGCAGAAAAAGCATTTAACAAAATCCAATATCCATTAATGGTGATAACAGGATAGGCGTGGTGGCTCATGCCTGTAATCCTAGCACTTTGGGAGGTCGAGGCGTGTGGATCACCTGAGGTCGGGAGCTCGAGACCAGCCTGGCCAACATTTCAGTCTCTACTAAAAAAACAAAATTAGCTGGGTGTGGTGGTACATGCCTGTAATCCCAGCTACTCGGGAGGCTGAGGCAGGAGAATTGCTTGAACCCAGTAGGCGGAGATTGTGGTGAGCCAAGATCTCGCCATTGCATTCCAGCCTGGGAAACAAGAGCAAAACTCCACCTCAAAAAAAAAAAAAAAAAAGTAATAATAAACAATAAAACGTTTAGTAATCTAGAAATAGAAAGAAATTCCTCATCTTGATAAAAGGCACCTAGGAGATCACTACAAGAAATATCATACTAAGTAGTGACCCACCAAATGTTTTCTGCCAGTTGGGAATAAGGCAAGGACGTCCACCACTTTCATTCAACATTATACTAGTGGTGTTAGCAAGTACAAAAATGGAAGAAAAAGAAATAAAAAGTTTACAAAAGGAAGAAGTAACAATGTATTTGTAGACAGAATGATTGTTTATGAAGAACATTCTAACAAATCTGTAAAAAAAATCTACTTGAACTAAAAAGTAAATTTAGCAAGGTAATGAGATATAAAATCAACATATAAAAGTCAACTGTGTTTACAAGTATTAGCAATGAACAACTGGAAGTTGAGATTTTAAAATAATATTTACGATATCATCAAAAAATAAAATAATTCAGGCTGGGTGCTGTAGCTCAGATCTGTAATTCCAGCACTCTGAGAGGCTGAGGTGGTCAAATCACGTGAGCTCAGGATTTTGAGACCAGCCTGGGCAACACAGGAAAACCTCGTCTCAACAAAAAATACAAAAATTAGCTGGGCATGGTGGCACACACCTGTAGTCCCAGCTACTCAGGAGGCTGAGGTGGGAGGATGATTTCAGCCCAGGAGGTAGAGGCTGCAATGAGCCAAAACTGCACCACTGCCCTCCATCCTGGGCGACAGAGACTCTGTCTCCCAAACAAACAAACAAACAAACAAAACCAGGCATGATGGCTCACACCTGTAATCCTAGAACTTTGGGAAGCCAAGGCGAGTGGATCACTTGTCAGGAGTTCAAGACCAGCCTGGCCAACATGGTGAAACCCCATCTCTATTAAAAAAATACAAAAATTAGGCCTGGTGCGGTGGCTCATGCTTGTAATTCCAGCACTTTGGGAGGCCGAGGCGGGCGGATCATGAGGTCAGGAGATCGAGACCATCCTGGCTAACATGGTGAAACCCCATCTCTACTAAAAAATACAAAAAATTAGCCGGGCGTGGTGGCGGGCGCCTGTAGGCCCAGCTACTCGGGAGGCTGAGGCAGGAGAATGGCGTGAACCCGGGAGGCGGAGCTGGCAGTGAGCTGAGATTGTGCCACTGCACTCTAGCCTGGGCAACAGAGCAAGACTCCATCTCAAAAAAAAAAAAAAAAAAAAAAAAAATTTGGAGATCTTATGCTATGTGATTTAAAGACAATGTGGTATTGGCATAAGGGTGGACATATTAATCAGGGTAACAGAATAGAGTCCAGACATAGATCCCATAGATACAGTCAATTGATTTTTTTATATTCTTGAGACAAGGTCTCTCTCTGTTGCCCAGGCTGCAGTGCAGTGGCCAGATCTTGGCTCACTGCCACCTGGACAGATCTTGGCTCACTGCCATACTGGGCTCAAATGATCTGCCCACCTAAGCCTCCTGAGTAGCTCGGACTACATGTGTGTGTCACCACATCTGGCAATTCTTAAAATTTTTTGTAGAGACAAAGTCTCCACGTATTGCCCAGGCTGGTTTCAAAATCCTGGGCTCAAGCGATCCGCCTGCCTTGGCCTCCCCATGTGCTGGAATTACAGGTTCGAGCCACCACCCTCATTGAGTGTCAAAAATCACTCAGTGGATTTTTGACAACATTCTTAAGGTAATTCAATGGAGGTACAATAGTCTTTTAATAAATGGTGCTGGAGCAACTGGATGTATATATGTAAAAATACTAACCTTCATCCTTACTTCATATGACACAAAAATGAACTCAAAACAGATCATAGAATGTAAGAGGGACTATAAAAGCTTCTAGAAGAAAGCATAGAAGATAATCTTAGGGTGCAAAAAGCATACATTGTAAAATAAAAAAAATTGCTAAATTGTGAATTCATCAAAATTTAAAACTCTCTGAAAGACATTATTAAGAAAATAAAAAGATAAGCCACACTGTGAGAAAAAACATTTGCAAATTAAAAAAAAAATTAAAAAAAAAATTAAAAAAAAAATCCTTGCACAGAATCATACTAACTTCTCTGTATTACAACTGTAGTATACATGTTTCTGAAGCAAGCACCACAAAACTTTTATCTGATAAAGGACTTACACTTAAAACAGGTGAATTTTACTATATATAAATGATATCTCAATAAAGCTGATTTAAAAATTTTAATGTGGCTGGGTATAGTGGTTCACACCTGTAATCGTAACACTTTGGGAGGCCAAGGTGGGCAGATGGCTTCAGCTCAGGAGTTTGAGACCAGACTGGGCAACATGGCGAAACCCTGTCTCTACTAAAAATACAAAAATTAGCTGGGCATGGTGGCCGTACCTGTAGTCCCAGCTACTAGGGAGGTTTGAGTGGGAGGATCGTTCTAGCTGGGAGATGGAGGTTGCTGTGAGCGCACCACTGCACTCCAGTCTGGGTGACAGAGTGAGACCCTGTCTCAAAACAAACACAAAACTTTAAAGTAGCTGGGCGTGGTAACTCATGCCTGTAATCCCAGCACTTTGGGAGGCCCAGGCAGGCAGATCACGAGGTCAAGAGATCGAGACCATCTTGGCTAACACGGTGAAACCCCGTCCCTACTAAAAATACAAAAATTAGCTGGGCATGGTGGGTAGTGTGCCTGTAATCAGAGCTACTCGGGGGCTGAGGCAAGAGAATCGCCTGAACCCAGGTGGCAGAGGTTGCAGTGAGCCTAGATTGCACCACTGCACTCCAGCCTGGCAACACAGCAAAACTCCATCTCAAAAACAAAAACAAAAACAAACCAGTAAATATTTTAGGCTTTGTGGGTAAAAGAGGTAAAATTGAAGCAATTATGTAGGTACATTTATAAGAAAACACACTTCCGGCCGGGCGCGGTGGCTCAAGCCTGTAATCCCAGCACTTTGGGAGGCCGAGACGGGCGGATCACGAGGTCAGGAGATCGAGACCATCCTGGCTAACATGGTGAAACCCCGTCTCTACTAAAAAAATACAAAAAACTAGCCGGGTGTGGTGGCGGCGCCTGTAGTCCCAGCTACTCGGGAGGCTGAGGCAGGAGAATGGCGTAAACCCAGGAGGCGGAGCTTGCAGTGAGCTGAGATCCGGCCACTGCACTCCAGCCTGGGCGACAGAGCCAGACTCCGTCTCAAAAAAAAAAAAAAAAAAAAAAAAAAAAGAAAACACACTTCCACAAATACCTTATTAATAAAATTCAAAATATAATAAGTAACTCAGTACAATTTTTTTGTAATACAGGTCTACTGACGAAAAAAATGGAACTCTCATTTTGGGGGGTAACATTTTGCTTAACTGGGGCTCAAAGTAAAAAGCCATTTTTCATGATTCTCTAAGGAGAATACATTGAAAAGCAACATAGACACTTAATTCTCTAGGATACATTCTATCTAAATTGCTTAACTCATCTTACCGGCCCCATGGATCCCTTAGCCCTTTTGCAGCCAGCTTCTTCTGGATATCTTCTAATGGTGTCCCTTCTATCTTCCATTGTCTATAATCTGGAAGTTCCATTTTATGGTGTCCATGTTCATGTCCATGTCCATGGGCCATGTCTATAAGGAAAATATTAACACAAGTGAGATATATGCAAATTGTAGATATCAAATACCCAAATTTATTGTTTATGTTTTAAGGTGAAGCATTTAATATTTAAAAAAAAAAAAGCCAATATAAATACTTGTAAATTTCAGTTAAAAGATTTTATAAAAGTGTCTTATTCCACAACCACGTTCAGTTAGGAAATACACATACACAAAATATAAAAAAGAAAAATAATTGGAAATCCCACCACTCAGAGATAACCACTTACTATCTGGTTCTTTTCTTCATTATAACAATAGTAAACATTTATGGAGTCCTATGTGCCAGGTGTACTATGCTAAGATGCTTTATGTGTATTAACTCCATTACTTCTAAAACAACTCCTTGAACTTAAATTATGAGTTCCCCATTTTACAGATAAGGACAATGAGACTCCAAGCAGTTAAGTAACTTTCCAAAGGTAACAACAATAGTAATGGTACAGCTGGGATTAGAATCTTGCAGTTTAGTTTCAGAACCCTGCTCCTAACTTCTTCTTCTTATTATTACTTTTTTTTGAGACGGAGTCTTGCTCTGTCGCTCAGGCTGGAATGCAGTGGAGGATCTCGGCTCACTGCAAGCTCTGCCTCCCAGGTTCACGCCATTCTCCTGCCTCAGCCTCCTGAGTAGCTGGGACTACAGGCGCCCACCACCACGCCCGGCTAATTTTTTGTATTTTTAGTGAAGACAGGGTTTCACCGTGTTAGCCAGGATGGTCTCGATCTCCTGACCTCGTGATCTGCCCACCTTGGCCTCCCAAAGTGTTGGGATTACAGGTGTGAGTCACCACGCCCGGCCTCCTGCTCCTAACTTCTAAGCAATATTGTTTTCCTTTTGAATCCTTTCATAATGCATAAATATATATAACAAAAAGGTTATACATACTATTTTAAAATTTTTTCTTTAGATGATTCTTTTAAAATGCAGTAATGCTTTTAAATACATATGATTACATGAAGGGTTTCTTTAAAGAGACAGACAGCAAATATTTTAGGCTTTGTGGGTAAAAGAGGCAAAATCGAGGCAATCATGTAGGTACATTTATAGGAAAACACACTTCCAGAAATACCTTATTGATAAAATTCAAAATATAATACGTAACTGAGTACAATTTTGTTGTAATACCGGTCTACTGACAAAAAAAATGGGAATCCCATTTTGGGGGGTAACATTTTGCTTAACTGGGGCTCAAAGTTAGTGATCCTTAGCATCAAAGTGATTACAAATGTTCATTTGTAAAAACCATTCTTAGCTCATGGACCTTACAAAAATAGGCACTGGGCAGGATTTGGTCCACAGGCTGCAGTTTGCCGATCCCTGAACTGGGCCAACAGAGACCTTAGGACTCCTTTTTAACCAATAAACTTGCTTCTTTAAATAAAACATGTCCTCAATGGTTATATAAATACTTCAGTTTTACTAGTGTTATTTTAATATGTAATATAAAAATAAACCAGCTCAGTCTTCATTTAAATTGCTAATTCAAATTAATGGGTATGGTTTAATAACACTATACTATAATTTGTATAAGGTTGGCAGTAGCAATTCTTTTTTTTTTTTTTCCCCAAATTCTAATTACTTGGCAAACAGTAGCAATTCTATAATCACTGCTTTTCCAGAAGTAAAATCAAGTAACTATTACCATTATGTCCATATTTATAACTATGAACAGGCCCAATAAGGTAGGATTTCTTTTTTTTTTTGAGACAGAGTTTTGCTCTTTTTGCCCAGGCTGGAGTGCAATGGTGCGATCTTGGCTCACAGCAACCTCCATCTCCCACGTTCAAGCGATTCTCTTGCCTCAGCCTTCTGAGTAGCTGGGATTACAGGCATGTGTCACCACGCCCGGCTAATTTTGTATTTTTAATAGAGACGGGGTTTCCCCATGTTGGTCAGGCTGGTCTCGAACTTCCGACCTCAGGTGATGTGACTGCCTCGGCCTCCCAAAGTGCTGGGATTATAGGCATGAGCCACTGCGCCCGGCCTGGTAGGATTTCTTATATTGCATCTTACAAGATAGAGGTAATTATTAGAAAGTGTATATTAAAGACACATTATTGGGAGGCTGAGGGATGAGAATCGAGTGAACCCAGGAGGCAGAGGTTACGGTGAGCCAAGATGGTCCCACTGCACTCAGGCCTGGGCAACAGAGTGAGACTCTGTCTCAAAAAATAAATAGTTCCAAGATATGAGGAAAAAATTGTACATACTAACTGTGAAAAACCAACACTTATTATTTGTAAACATGTTAAGATACTAAAAAAACATTATGTTGATGATTTTCACAATTTTATATATATATATATATATATTTTTTTTTTTTTTTTTAAAGATAGAGGGTCTTTCTCTGGATCATAGCTCACTGCAGCCTCAAACTCCTGGGCTCAAGTGATTGTCCTGCCTCAGCCTCTTGAGTAGCTAGGACTACAGGAGCGTGCACAACGTCTGGCTAATTTTTAAATGTTTTATAGCGATGGAACCTCCCTATGTTGTCCAGGATGGTCTCAAACTCCTGGCCTCAAATGATCCTTGATCCTCTGGCATAGGCCTCCCAAAATGCTGGGATTACAGTGGGGTTACAACCATGCCCAGGAGGATTTTCACATTTAAATGAAAATGAAAATCAATACTCTCAAACACAAGTTAAAACTACAACACAACTCTGATTGAAACATTTAACCCATTATTACTTGGCAGATTCAATAAAATGAAGGAAAAAATTATGGTGTCAGATTTCAGACTGACTTTTGAGACTGAATACATTTATTACAAAAGAAGACCATTACGAGTGTTTATTTAGAATGATAATGTCTTGGTTTCTGCATACCATGTTTTCAAAAAATCTTTTTTAAAATAAGGTTTCATTTTAAAAATGCTTAAAGAGATTACAAGACAAACCCTTATTTTGGCAAATGTCACTTCTAGAATATTAACCTGAGGATCAATGTATTTGGAAGCGAGTATAAAACAAAGGGTCAAGAATTTTGATAAAACAGTTTTTGAAAATAAAAGTTGAAACATTACCATGGTATAAAGACTATTTTGAAATTACAATACTACTGTGCTTAAACTATTAAGTAATTTGAAAGATAAATCTTTGAAAGAAAACATGAAAGTATACATAACCTAATTTCTCCTATACAAATTTATTTATATATACATTCAATGTATTTTCTCTTCTACCTAATTATTTCAGAAGTATTCTTTTCATAGGAATTTACTAGATATAAATTTAAATGACTTTTCAAAAAGAGCAGAAAGTTGAAAACACTATCTCTAGGAAACCTTTCATTTTCTTTTTTCTTTTTCAGTTTTTTTTACAGACAAGATCTTCCTATGTTGCCCAGGCTGCTGTTGAACTCCTGGCCTCAAGCATTCCTCCCTCCTTGGCCTTCTAAAATATTGGGATTACAGGCGTGAGCCATGGCACCTGGCCCATTTTTCTTTTTAAACTTATTTCTATTTCCAAATAGCCATAAATCAAACAATGATATCGTGATCATGTAAAGTAAGAGCTTGAAATTCTCCTACTTTGCACTAGTAAAAGTAAAATCCAAGGCAAATCGCTTAATTTCCCTGAACTTCAGTTTCTTCATATAACAGGAGGATAAAACCTACCTTGCCAGACTGTTGAGAGCTGAGGAAAACACATTGTGATGTACCTTCTACTTTCACACTTAGGTGGTGAGAATGCAATTGAGCACAACCATTCTGAAAAACTGGCATGACCTAGAAAAGCTGAACATGGCCGGGCGCAGTGGCACATGCCTGTAATCCCAGCACTTTGGGAGGTCGAGGCAGGCGAATCACTTGAGGCCAGGAGTTGAGACCAGCCTGGCCAACATGGGGAAACCCCGTCTCTACTAAAAATACAAAAATTAGCCAGGTGTGGTGGCACACACCTGTAGTCCCAGCTACTCAGGAGGCTGAGGCAGGCTGAGGCAGGAGAATCACTTGAAACCAGGAGGTGGCGGTTGCAGTGAGCCAAGACTGCACCACCGCACTCCAGCCTGGGTGACAGAGTGAGACTCTATCTCAAAAAAAAAAAAAAAAAGAAAAAAGAAAAGCTGAACATACGAATACCTTATGGCCATCAATTCCACTCCTAGTACATATATTCTAGATAGACACCGTCTATCTAGCACTTGAAATGTGGCTGGTACAATTGGGAACTGGGAATTTTAATTTAATTTTAATTAATTTAATCCCAAAACAGATGATCAAATTGTTATTAGAAAATATTAAAGTGTCTTTGGAGGCCAGGCGCGGTGGCTCACGCCTGTAATCCCAGCACTTTGGGAGGCCGAGGCAGGTGGAAAGGAGTTCAAGAAAAGCCTAACCAACATGGCAAAACCCCATCTCTACTAAAAATAAAAAAATTAGTTGGGCATGGTAGTGTATGCCAGTAGTTCCAGCTACTAGGGAGGGTGAGACAGGAGAATCACTTGAACCTGGGAGGTGAAGGTTGCACTGTGCTGAGATTGCACCACTGCACTCCAGCCTGGGCAAGAGAGTGAGACTCTGTCTCAAAATAAATAAATAAATAAATAAAAATTAAAAAAATAAGGAAATAAAATAAAGTGTCTTTGGAACAATTTGGATATATGAATTTACTTTATCAACTGTAAATCTTATGATCACAGATCAAAGGTTTCCATTTATGGAATATAAAAAATATATTTAAAATATTTTCTTAGAGACATCAAGACTCTTGTCTCTAAAAAAACAAACAAAAAAATTTTTTTTTTTTTAGATAGCCTCACTCTGTTGCCAGGCTGGAGTGCAATGGGTGGTGTGATCTCGGCTCACTGCAACCTCCGCCTCCTGGGTTCTAGTGATTCTCCTGCCTCAGCCTCCCGAGTAGCTGGGATTACAGGCATGCGCTACCACAACCGGCTAATTTTTTGTACTTTTAGTAGAGACGGGGTTTCACCATGTTGGTCAGGATGGTCTCGATCTCCGGACCTAATTATCCACCTGCCTCGGCCACCCAAAGTGTTGGATTACAGACGTAAGCCACCATGCCCAGCCTAAGAAAAATGTTTTTAAAAGAATCTTTATAGCCACATTGTTTATTCTATCTCCCAACTGTAAACAACCCAAATGTCCAATAACAACAGAAGTGATTATGGTATAGTCACACTATATATTATACAACCAAAAACTACATGCAAAAGTATGATTGAATCTTCACAAATATAATAATGAGCAAGGGGTGAGTCAGAAAAAAAATACACATGCACTCGGATCCCATTTATATAAATTGAAACGCCTAACAATTCACATTTTTTAGGAATTCATCATAGATGGAAAAATTAAAGTAAAACAAGTGAGTGCTTAGCACAAGTCAGGATAATGGTTACCTCTTGGTGGAGGAGATGGAATCACAGAAACATACAGGCAGCTTCTAAGGCAGTGTTTTTCAACCAATTTTTAATTATTGTCCCTGTAAGGAACCTTTCTAGACATTTTATTCCTAATCACGACCCTCCCACCATGAAAATTTAACACTACATACACACTATATATCTGTTTATATACTGTGGCCCTTTGGAGGGACACAACTCATTGTAGTAACTAAGACCTACTACCCCAGCCCCACCAATTTTCACCCCCCTGAAATGCAAAATCACCCCTGTTAAGAATGCATGTTCTAAGGTATTGGCAATGCTTTATTTTCTAATTTAAGAGGTGGTTACGGGAGTGTCTGCTTCTGTTAGTTATAATTTTAAAAAATGTATGTTTTATACACTCTTCTGTATGTATACTTGACAATAAAAAATAAAATTAGAAAAATTGACTTAAATTGTGCTGAGGACTGAAAAATGGTGGTTATTTCCGTTTCAGAGCAGCTCAAATAACAGTAAGGAAATTAATTAAATAAAGAAAAAAACATGCAACCAAAAATTTAAAAAGCTATCTATCTGTGTCTGAAGTGAATCTAAAAGTCTGATGAAGATCAACTTCCACTAAAGGAAGTTGGCTCTAAGAAGATGTGTGCTGGTATCCTTTCCCTAAGAAAGAAATAAGAAGATAATGCCACTTCCACTACGTGCAATTTTAGTTTACCGAAGACTATCAAGTATATATCTTAACTTCCTCGTATTTAAAAAACTGTGATTATATGAATATTAGGAAATAAAAAACAAATGAACTGTTTTACTTTTAGTGATGCTGTTCTTCTGCCTTTGTTCTATTCAAAGCCAAACAAAGACAATTTTGCGTGTGGCAAAGGCGGGAAAAAGCACTTCTATGTAACAACTACAGTAATGCTCACTGAATCCTCCAACCACCCCTCCCTACCCCAACTTAGACTTCATTAGTTCTCGCCTGCTAGTTCTTTGATCTCCCTTCCAGCCTCCCATCCTTCTCCATTTATTTAGTCTCTCCTTTTCTACACTCCCCAGAATAGAATCTAGCTCTTAATCCTAATCAACGGGTCTCCCACCAACTCCCTAATTTACCTGAAATCAATCTGACCTCTCAGGACACTCAACTCTGCAACCGGAACCAACCGGAAGCGGAGGTTGTCACCTCGAGTTTCTCACGGCAGGAAAGCGGAGAAGCCGCTTAACGTTCCGGTAGTGGGTTAGAGATTCCTAAATCAGGAAGAGATTACATGAAGGAGGCTGGAAGTCGATTATCTTCCCCACATATGTGCATCTTCAATCTGACTGAGGTAACAGATACTGTAGAAGAGAAAAGGGCGGAGAAGAGAACATGTTCTTCTTGCTTGGGGACGGAACCCTTAGACACCGCACAGGGGGCAGGGCCGCGGACATACTGCAGCCAATCAGGGAGGCTGTTGTTGAGCGCGTGCTCTCACCCAATGAGAGGGTTGGTTGTTGCGCTGCAGTTGGCAGGCTGCTGCGGGAGGCGGTGGCAGTAGGAAGCCGGAGACAGCAGGGTGACAGGTAGGTGGTGGTGCTGTCTTTGGGGGACGCAAAGTGCTAGGTGAAGGGGGTTTTTCTTCTCCTTCGGCCGCGGAAACTACAGAGGGTAGCTGGCGAGGGTGGTCTGGAAAGGCGGTAGCTGGTGTGTTGGTGGTCCCAGAACCTCTCGTAAACCAGGTAGCATCTTGGGAGGGTCCTGAGGAGGAGAAGGCGGCAGCCGAGGCGGGTGGAAGCCGAGCCCTGTGGGGCGACGTGGGGGCCCACCTAGGGCGTGGGGGCTGCGCTGGCGCCAGCAGAGAGGGAGGAGAGAGGCGGGAGCAAGGCAGTGTAGTGAGGGCTGAAGGGATTCCTTGCACAAAGCCCTAGGCGAGAAAAGGACACGGCATTGAAGACAGCTAAGAGAAATCCCAGTGATTGCTTCTTAGGGCTATTTCCTGGGGGTGGTGAGGGGGAGCGGAGAAGAAAAATATTTACTGGCGGTCAGATCCTGAAAACTCATTATTGCTGTACATTATGTAATCTTTGGCTGTTATTTACCCAAACAACTAGGTTGCCCCTCCTGGGAGAGAAGATCTTGCAACCTATTAATGTATTAGAACACTTTTTTCTTTGGCTTGAGTGTCTTTTACCTTGGCAGGTTCTGTAGGCGAAGGGTGGTAGCATGGAGGATAGAGTAGTCACGAAGAGCTTATCCCAAATATGGACTTGACTTGACAGATACTAGGTTGCGATGAATGTGGTTCATGTTTTGTAGTTTGCAGGTTCATGTTTTGTAGTTTGTGAATTTATTTGAGGGTCAAGGCTGACAACATTTAAAAAAAATCTTCAGGAAAGTGGGGATCCTTAAAAAATTTACAGTAGGAGCTAAGCGTAAGTTGGAAAATGAGTAGAAAATTAGTTGGCAGATCCCTTCCTCCCCCCAGGATATTGTGGAAGTTAGCAACTGTGCAAATAAGGTGGCGGTCTGAATTTGGGCAAAAAAGTCATTTTTTTTTTTTTTTTTTTTGAGACGGAGTTTCGCTCTTGTTGCCCAGGCTGGAGTGCAATGGCGCGATCTCGGCTCACAGCAACCTCCGCCTCCCGAATTCAAGCCATTCTCCTGCCTCAGCCTCCGAAGTAGCTGGGATTACAGGCATGCGCCACCACGCCCGGCTAATTTTGTATTTTTAGTAGAGACAGGGTTTCTCCATGTTGGTCAGGCTGGTCTCGAATTCCGGACTTCAGGTGATCCGCCTGCCTCGGCCTCCCAAAGTGCTAGGATTACAGGCGTGAGCCATCGCGCTTGGCCGAAAAAAGTCAACTTTTAAGTAGTTTGTTCTGTAAGCAAGTCTGATAAGCTAGTTATGAATTATTAGGTTTAAAAAGTGGACTCTGAACCTCTCGGGCAGAGGCAAAATATATTTATAGATATAATTAACTAAATTATCTTATTTTAAAAAAGTTTTATAATTCATTGTTTCCACAATAAAATGTAGAGTTAAAATAGGAATTCTATTCAGTATGTGTTATGGAAGGGCAAACGACATAAAAACTTGATTTTATAGCTCATTGAAAAACAATTTTCAAAGAAGCACTGGAAAATAATTTTAAAGGAAGCGTTATAAATTTCTAAAATGTAAGGTGTTTGAAATATTGTCTTTAGCTTAGGAGATAAGGTCTAATGTAGTATCAGCAACTCTATAATTTTCCTAAATTTATTTCAGTAGTGCATGTCAGAAAAACTTTATAAGATGTGATTTTTTTCTATTAATGATAATTTATATTCCTATATATGAACCTAAGTCAAAATTTCGTTTTTTTCTCAAAATTTTAATTGGGAAAGAGATGCATCATTAAAGTTTGTTTGTTCCCAGATGTTCTCAGTACTGAAATATTTGAGAATGCTTTAGATAAAAATTTTAATTGACGTTTGGTGTTTTGTTCTTTGACTTTTCTCTTTTTCCAAGAATAATGCAATCTCAGTCACAAAGAAAATTTCTGGTTCTATTTTAGGTGCAATTCTGTAGTGTTTTGAGTACCAGTTAAATCTTTGCTTTTATGCGTGTGTGTGTGTGTGTGTGTGTGTGTGTGTGTGTCTTATGTAACCAGCCTACTAGAGCTGTCTTAGAGAACTAATGGCTGATTTTGAATGGCCAGTAGGTGTCATTGTAGAATGCAGTAAGTTGAGCATCCAGTAGGAAATTAACAAGTAGTTAAAGAAACACTAGTCCAAATTAGCATATAGTGTGGTTAGATGGTTATTTATACGTTATGGAAGTTCTCTCTTATGAAACATTTCAGTATTGGAGCTGTTTATAAGGAATTTGAAACAATGATTGTAAAGGAGTTTGTTTGCCATAAAATAGACCTTGGAAGTGTGTTTTTTAGCCCAGCCCTTAAACTATCTTGACATGTGATTCAGATTTAAGTTTGATTATTTGTAATACACAGTTTTGGCGTCGTGTAATAGTTTATTAAGTTCTAGAATGATCGAGATTTTCAGCTTGACTGATTCTTATAGAAAAACCAATGCTACATAATGAAAAACTGATAAAATATGGGCAGAAGTTTCAAAACTAGTTATCACAATCGTACTTTGTATTGTTCTTTTTTTTCCCCCTTAGAGATCCTTGTTCCGAGTTACTGTTGTTTTAAAGCCAGAACAGAAGGTTTTTTTGTCTGTCATTGTCTGTGGCTTCTTATTTCTTTTGATTTCCAGAGTTGTTTCTTTTTACATTTTTATCTGCTTAGACTATGTGCTTTTCTCGGGATGTTGAACTGAGCATTTATCACTGACTAAAATATAGTGGATTCTGGAGGGAGCCAGCACAGAAAGCTCTGAAAGTAGCTTACATCTGTTCTGAGTACAGCTCCTTACCTTTCTAGCCTTCTGTTGAGCCCTTGTCACTTGTTAGCTCTGCTCCTCAAGCCTGTGATTGATACAGTGTTTTAAAAAAGTTTGGAACTAATTTAAGAAATCTTCATGGAGTTGGAAATACATACCTCACAACAATTTAGGAGTTTTTAAAAAGGCGTACACATATCACTTATATCATCTCCACTTCCCTTCAGAATCTTACAGATGAGAGGAGTGTGAAGGGGGTAGATGTATTTTGGAAACAAATTCCCTTGATTATTTGATTCACCACTGGTTTCCACTTCAGAGTGGAAGTGCCTTGATCTAATTCAAAGACTCTGACACTTGTGGTATGAAGCAGTAGTAGTTTCAGTTTAGAGAAAGGGCTGCCAAATCTACTAATTTGCTAGTATTTTTATAGCTCAATAAATTGTCATTTCATGTCATAGCTAGGATAGCTTTTTTTCTTTCTTTCTTTTTTTTTTTTTGAGACAGAGTTTTGCTCTTGTTGCCCTGGCTGGAGTGCAGTGGCACAATCTTGGCTTACAGCAACCTCCGCCTCCCAGGTTCAAGCCATTCTCCTGCCTCAGCCTCCGAAGTAGCTGGAATTACAGGCATGTGCCACCACGCCCGGCTAATTTTGTATTTTTTTTAGTAGAGACGGGGTTTCTACTAGTTGGTCAGGCTGGTCTTGAACTCCTGACCTCAGGTGATCCACCTGCCTCGGCCTCCCAAAGTGCTGAGATTACAGGCGTGAGCCACCGCACCCAGCCTGTCATAGCTAGGATAGTTTTTCTAGCCAGGAGCTGGAGTTGCGAGAAATGAAAATTGTGCTGAATGTTTTGGTTTGGATTAGTTCTTACTTGGCACTTATCTGCTTTCCATAAATCAAACTACTTTCTTTCATGATTCAGACCTGTGCTAATTTGTATAGACATTTATATCCTATTCTCTTACTGTCCCTGAAAGCTATCTAGTTCTAGAATTAAACTAAAATTGGAAAATAAGAGTTGGAGTAATTCAAGGTCGTTTTCTGATAATGCTATATGATGAATATATGCATTAATCTTTGCATAAACATTCCACTCAGTAATATATACTAAAAATTGGCATTGCAAATGTGTTTACCTTGACTTGGGTCCAGTTTAGAAACTTACGGTTCATCTTTGTGAATTCTAGACTTTCTGTTTGGGTATCTGGCTGCCATGGAGACAAATCTGAGGAAAAGTATGAGTAGACTTTAATTTTAGAGAAAAGCGTAAAAACCCAATTATGTAATATATTAAGAGGTGTGACTTTGATTATTTATAGAATTATAGTACTTTCTAGGTTTGAAATATAACTGCCAAAAAAGTAGTCATAAAATATGATAAATGGCATCAATTTATTGAATGGCAAAGCATGGGTTACAGAATATCTATTTTGTCCTATTTTAACACATGAAACTTCAAAAAGTGTTAGAATCCAATTTATCCATCACCTTTGTCATTATGAATACTTAACTGTTGATAGTGCTTGATTCTTTTTTTTTTTCTGGTGAAAAGCTATTAAGATATATACTTAGAATTAGCCAGCCCAACTCAGTTTAGATGATCCCAATTTTGTTGGCAACCTCCAAAGCATCATAATCAGGAGCCAGTCAAACATATGCCTTCTTCTCTTCATCAGGTCTGATTAGGGTCTTGACCTTGGCCTTATCGATAGTAAAGAGCTTCTTTATAGCCTATTTGACCTGGTGCCTGTTGACTTTAACATCCACAATGAACACAAGTATGTTGTTGTCTTGTATCTTCTTCATGGTAGCCTCAGTGGTCAGCAGGAACCTGATGATGGCATAGTGGTGAAGCTTCTTTCTCCTTGTATCCTGCTATCTTACAAGGATATTTGGGCTACCTCTGGGGCTGCCTTGGGCCACTGGGACATGGGTGACTTGTGGATCTTCTTTTTTTGTGTATATGGTTGTGGACTCCTTTCAGCACTGCTTTCTTGGCCTTCAAAGCCTTTGCTTTGGC